GCCCAACTGTCTTTTGAATTGGCGCCGCTCCCAGCAAGAACAACGCTCCCGCGCGAGATTTCCTCTCTTTTTACTCGGGACGGTGCTGGTCCTCGCCGCCGACAGCCCCCGTCCCGACAAAACCACGGCTCCCGCTAGATGCTTCTTCCTTTCTTACTCAAAACGGTGTTCCTCCTCGCCGCCGAAAGCCGCCGTCCCAACAAAACCAGCGTTCCCGCTCGAGATTTCTTTTTGCTTTGCGCTGGACTAGCGCCCTACTCTCTTCAGCATTGGCGCCGCTCCCAAGAACAGCAGCAGCCCTGCTCGAGACTTCGTTCCTGGGATGGAGGCCAGTCCTTGCCTCACCGCCGACGGCCCCCATCCTCACCAAGGCAATCCTGTCGTTCGATACCTCCTTGTGCTTTACCCTTCACTGGGATTCCACTGGCGGTCTCGCATTGGCGCAGCAGGGCGCGGGCATGTGTTTTCGAGGCGGGATATGTTGAAATTCCTCGGAGGAGGTGTTTGCAAGACCTCATTGGGCGGGACATCTGGGAATGTTGTTGTTGTTGTTGTTGTTGTGGTTGTTGTAATTGTTGTTGTTGTTGTTGTTGTTGTTGTTCCCCATATCATAAGATGGGGTTCTTGTTATTGCTTGGAGGCCTCCTACTTCCTCTCCTTCTCCTCCTCCTCCTCCTCCTCCTCCTCCTCTCCTCCTCTGCTCAGACTTGCTCATACCCAGACTTGCTCATACACAGACTTATGCACACCCAGACATTCTCATACTCAGACCTACTCATACTCAGACTTACTCATACCCAAACGTACACATACACAGACTTACTCATACTCAGACTTACTCATACCCAGACGTACTCATACACAGACTTACTCATACTCAGACCCATACATACTCAGACCTTCTCGTAGTCTGAGTTACTCAACGCACGGCAGATTTTGAGCGCTGGTTTCAGCACCCCTAAGGGGAGCTGCCAAGGGGGTATATCACGGGCCCGTTCGCGGCCAGTTTGCGGGGATGTCTCAGGCGGTTTGCTCGTTTTCGTGCTCAACATCTTTGGCTTTCATAGCAGATTGTGAGGATGTCTCAGGCGGGGCGCTGATTTCAGCACCCCTAAGGGGAGCCGCCAGGGGGTATATCACGGGCCCGTTCGCGGCCAGTTTGTGGGGATGTCTCAGGCGGTTTGCTCGTTTTCGTGCTCAACACCCTTGGCTTTCATAGCAGATTGTGAGGATGTCTCAGGTGGGGCGCTGATTCCAGCACCCCTCAGGGGAGCCGCCAGGGGGTATCTCATGGGCCCGTTTGCGGCCAGTTTGTGGGGATGTCTCAGGCGGTTTGCTCGTTTTCGTGCTCAACATCCTTGGCTTTGGTAGCAGATTGTGAGGATGTCTCAGGCGGGGCGCTGGTTTCAGCACCCCTAAGGGGAGCCGCCAGGGGGTATATCACGGGCCCGTTCGCTGCCAGTTTGTGGGAATGTCTCAGGCGGTTTGCTCGTTTTCGTGCTCAACATCCTTTGTTTTCATCGCAGATTGTGAGGATGTCTCAGGCGGGGCGCTGGTGCCAGCACCCCTAAGGGGAGCCGCCAGGGGGGTATATCATGGGCCCGTTCGCGGCCAGTTTGTGGGGATGTCTCAGGCGGTTTGCTCGTTTTCGTGCTCAACATCCTTGGCTTTCATCGCAGATTTTGAGGATGGAGGAAAGGGGGAGGAGGAGGAGGAGGAGGAGGAGGAGGAGGAGGAGGAGGAGGAGGAGGAGGAGGAGGACGAGTAGGAGTATGCACATATGGGAAGCTCCGAAGTTACCGCAGGCTGAGGAGGGCACGGCCTGGCAGCTGAGGAGGGGGAGTGAAGATGAAGAGGCTCATGTTCAATCATACTCAGCTCACTCTGACTCATACTCACTCACTCGCATCAGGATGCGCTCGTCTTCGTCGGGCCTGTCGCCAACGTGGACGGGCTATTATAGACAAGCGCTCATGAACAGACGTTCACTACGGCATAACATAAACCATGAGATGCACATATGGGGAGCTCCACGAAGTGAGTAATTGCTGTTGTGGTTGTGGTTGTGGTTGTGGTTGTGGTTGTGGTTGTGGTTGTTGTTGTTGAACATTATTTATTCTAAAGAATAATTATTGTTGGGCCCCCTGGTGCGCGCCCCCCCTGCGCCGCCTAGGCCGCAGCTACATTTTCATCATTTTCGTGAGGAAGCCTCAGAAAAGAGGGTGTGTACAGGATCCGGTTGTTTTGTTGTAATCCGCTTTCCCTTGCAAAAAACAATAGAAAATGACATTTCTTGTTCTAATATAATCAAATTTCAAGAATCCCTTGCAAAAAATAAGGTAAAGTGGACATTCGCGCGCGCAAGACGAAATCCTTCCAAAACCTTAGTGTTCGCAGCGATTTTAACATAAAAACATCAAAAAACCAATGGTTTTTCAACAAAAAATTGTCAAAATCTCATCCCGCGCGCTCTTGCGGATTCGTAGGAAACCCAACACTTTTTAAACATTTCTGTCAAACGGGCTTTTGCGAGCAACTTTTTCGAACTTCTGCGACAACGGTTGCGCACCTGCCAGGGCCATCATCCCTGTCAAATAATACCATGCGGGACACATTCGTTTTTTCTTCGCGCGCGCACGCCGAAATCTCCAAAAACCATTGGGCTTCTTAAGAATTTTAGCACCGCGCATCATAAAATCACACGAATCGCACCGTAGGTCCTCGAAAAACACCTGCACGACTTTTCAAAATTTCTACCCGCGCGCGCTGTCCTAACAACTTCTGTGGGTGTGTACTCCACGCCAGTGTAGTAGCCACGGTCGTCCGCAGGCCACGAAGTGAAGTGTCCGAACGTCATAGGGCGGGAAGCTGGGTGTGGGTGGTGGCGAAGAGTCGTGTGGATATTTGGTAGAGCTTGCACTGCCCCCCCACAAAGTGGGGGTATTGGCTGGCGTCGCATGAAATCCCTGGCACTGGTGAGAACACTGAGCGTTCGGGTAAAGTGATTGTTGTTGTTGTTGTTGTTGTTGACGAGGGACGGGCGCAGAGCCCTGCCCCCCCCCAAGCAACCAGCAACCCAGCAACCCCCCCAGTAAGGCCGAAGGCCCCCCCTGGGGGCCAAAGGCTTTCCCCCACTTTGTGATCTTGGAGGCCCCGTAGGAGTTCATGGAGAGTTATGGAGTCCTCTTGGGAGTTCTGGCATCTTGGGAGTTCTGGGACCTCTTGGGGCTTATCTTCTGGCCGATTGAAACTTTTCTGGATTGCTCCTGGGGCTTCTCTGGGCGCTTTTTGGTGCTTCTCCAGAGGTTTCTGGGGGCTTCTTGGGGAGCCTTTTGGGGGTTCTCTGGCTGAGATGGAGGGGGAGGAGGAGGAGGAGGAGGAGGAGGAGGAGGAGGGGGAGGAGGAGGAGGAGGAGGAGGAGGAGGAGGAGGAGGGTGAGGATGAGGAGGGGGAGGAAGAGGAAGTGGAGGAGGAGGAGGAGGTGGAGGAGGTGAGGAAGAGGATGTGGAGGAGGAGGAGGAGGAGTAAAGGAAGGAAGAGGAAAGGAAGGAAGACGAGGAGGAGGAGGAGGAGGAGGAGAAGAGGAGGAGGAGGGGGAGGGGGAGAGTAGGGGGCGGATGAGGAGGTTTAGGTTGACGGTGAGGACGGTGGTGGTGGTGGTGATGATGATGACGATGATGGCGATGATGGTGATGATGATTATGATGATGCGGATGGTGTTGATGGTGATGACGATGAGGCTGATGGTTACGAGGGCAATGCCGATGATAACAGTACCGTACGTCGACGAAATCTTGTACCACTTTTGCCGCGCATTGTCAGCTATATTGCATTGCTCCTCCCCCCCTCCCCCTGATTTTAATATTGTGCACATGGCAAATGTCCCTTGGCGCCCCCCCCAGGGCTCGCGACAGAATGTTGCACCACCGAGCCGTTTCGATGAACCCGGGACCGCAGCCAATGTGAAGATTGGGGGGAGGGCGGGGGGTGGAAGCGAACATCCATTGCAAACACCAGGTGGTGCAACATTTTGTCGATGTACCGTATGGTGGTTGTGTTGGTGAGTGTGTTGATGACGATGATTCTTGTGCTGACGGTGGCGATTATGTTGATGTTGGTGGTTCAGGGGGGGACTCTGAGGAGGACGAGGAGGATCCTGGGGAGACGATACGGAGGAGGAGGGGGTGGAAGAGGAAGAGCCAGGGAATGTGTGGAGGATAGCTCTGGCCTGACTGCGGTACGAGGGTGGAGGGCCTGCAAAGACCATGTTGGGATGGACGGAGGGAGGGAACATGACGGGAAAAAATGTATGATGATGAGGAGGAGGTGGAAGAGGAGGTGGAGGAGGACGCGGAGGAAGAGGAGCTCAACCTCCTTCTCTCACCTCGTCAGCGTTGCCTTTTCTTCCTCGTTCACCTCCACGTCTTTGCATCCTCCTTCTCCCACCTCATCGTCCTCATTCCTCTCCCTCCCTGTCGCACCCCTAGACGCGCGAGCGCCGCGCATAATGGCTCAACATATTCAGTGGTGAATGGCGCTTCCTTTTCAACATGTTGCTCTCGCTTTAGCGCCGTTCGTATTTTTCCAAAAGCATTTGCAACAGTTTCAAAGGTTCGTAGGGTTGAAGTCGGAAGAGTGGTGCTCTGACACAGTTTAGGGTTGTCAAGACGCAGCAGTCACGTTGATTCGTTGTGCTGAAGGCTCAGGAGCGGTGTTCTGGTACAGTTTAGGATTGTCAAGACGCAACCGTTATGTTGTTTCGCGGCGTTGAAGTCGTCCCAGGGCTGATGTTTCGGCACGGTTGAGGATTCTCAGGCGGGTGTCTTTCAATGGGGACTTGTGTAGAGGAAAGGATGTCCTGCTACATAGTCGATGCGTCTTTGGCTTACACTAGTTCTCCTCCTCCTCCTCCTCCTCCTCCGTCTGCTTCTCCCCCTCCCCCTCCCTCCTCTTCCCCTCCTGCTCCTCTCTCCCCCTCGCCTGCCCCCAGCTGGCTCCAGGCCCTCCTGAAGCAGGGCCAGGCTGACGTCATTCTGAAGACTCCAGACGGCCAGCTAGCGAGGCGCGTGGCGGAGGAGGAGCAGGAGCAGCAGCAGGAGGAGGAAGGCTTAGGAGGATGAGGAGGAGCAGGAGGAGGAGGAAGACCGAGTAGGAGTTGGAGGAGGATACTAAGGAAGAGGAGGAGGCGGAGGAGGAAGAGGAGGAGGTGATGATGATGATGCTGCTGCTGGTGATGAGGAATCTAGTTCCGCAGCGAGTTGTACATTTTCGATACACTTCTTCCCCTGAACTCGATGAGCACCGCTGCGACGAAGAACTCGAGGCCTACCCGTGAGGCCAGCCGAGAAGCTTGTGGAACACGAGTTGAGTACCTCAACCATGAATATGTTCACTTCTCACAAACCAAGCCACCACGAGTGAATACATACATTCAAATATTCGAGAAATATGCAACGACTGATGGAACGAGCGAAACGAAGCCCACGCAACAAGCCTAGGCATGTTCGGAAACCGCGGCGCCATATCCGCTTCGCAGGCGAACCAACGCGCAAAACCCACAGGCAAAACAGTACGCACGTGGCACCATGCGCGGTACTCTGACAAAAGAGGTGCTGCTGACTCGCACATGGACACGAAAGGCAGGCTATCAAAATTCTTGACGCTTCGCGTATCCCCACCAGCTCCCAGCACTGCTTCCTGCTTGCAGGCGCGTCTCAGCTTGCCATCATGGCTGCTGCGTTCGCCAATTCGCACCGGGCCGTTGCCCCGGACACTGCTCTTGCCGCCTGACCGTTGCCTGGTGGCCGCAATCAAAAAAATCCTCACCAGCTCCCAACACTGCGGGTTCGCCCGCCCTCGTTTCACACTAGACGCAGCCTGCCGCGCATGGACGCGAAGGTCGCTGCGGCTATTTCGCAGAAGGTGTCGCCTCCAGCTGCTCCCTGGTACCCTGGTTTGCCGACCAGCAATGGGTCACAACGGGCCACTCAGAACGGGGGCGTCAGGCCTCCTCTGCCCGGATGACAGGCCCAGCAGCAGAGGATATTCGCGGAGGTCGTTCACGACGGCGACACACGGCGCGACACGCGTTCCCACCAGTGGCCGTCAGCCACTCCCTGGTAGCATTTTCTGCGCAGCGCTGCGGGCTTACCCGCCCTTGTTTCACCCTAGACGCAGCCTGCCGCGCAAGGACGCTATGTTTGCTGTGGTCACCTTGCAGAAGCGCAGGCTTCAGTTGCTTCCTGATCCCCTGGCACGCCGACCAGCAGTGGGCCACAGCGAGCCATTCGGTATGGGGGCGTCACGCCTTCCCTGCCCGGAGGACGGGCTCAGCAGCTGACAGAAGACTCGCGGGGGTCTTCACTTCGGCGACGGGCGAGGCGACATACGCTCCCGCACTTGGTGGTGTTCCTTCTATAATCGGCAAGCCAGTGGCCGTTAGCCACTCCCTGGTTACGCTTTCTGCCCAGCTCCCGCTGTCCCCCGCCCTTGGGATTCTTGCAGCGGCCTGCTGACAATACCGGCGCGTGGACTGCCGCTGGGGCCGTGGTCCACCTGTCTTGGCTGGCCCCTGGCCCGGCTGTAGCTGTTTTCACCACAATCGGTGCGCTCCAATCCCCGCGCCCACAGGTACCCGCCGTGCCAGAGCGGCTCGCCCCAAGCGGTTGGGTTGCCCTGCCCCGCTCCTTCCTGGTTCCCCCCCCGCTCAGGCGGCTGGGCGTCGCAGCGACTCCGTCAGCTCCGGCCCCCGGTCCCCCCGCTCCAGCGGCTCAACCCCATCCTGGGGCGCCAGGGGCTCCCGAGTGCACGTGGTTCAGCCTGTGCCTTCCTGGCTGCTCGGACGACCGTGTTGACCCGTCCCGCGATGCCTGGCGGCAGTCCTCACGGCATCCTCTTGCTCCCTCGCCCCGCTGCTGAGACGCGGATCTCCCTTGTTTGGTCAGCTCTCAGTCGTCGGTTCCTGCTCGAGAGTGCGCGTGGCTTTACCTGATCCGGTCGCTCAGGCGCTTGCGGTGTTGATTACATCCATCGTTCCCCTGGCCACTTCGCCCGTCCTGGGGCCTTTCCGTGGACGGTCGTTTGCAGGATCAGTACTCCCCTCAGGGGACTTGGTGTGCGACTTTGGTGGCGCCACCCGATGCACCAGTTTTGGGCCAGTTTGGACACCCATGGCAGTCGTCGCAGCGCACTGGCTAGCTGCCTCCCTGGTCACATCCTTGTACAACCCTCGCGCCATTTTGGCTGCGGCCCAACCCTGGTTGGCTAATCTTGCACGTGCGCGCCCCTGGACCTGGTCCCTGGCAGCTCTGAGGCCCGCCCGGGCGCCGGCCCGCCCGCCGAGGCGCTGCTGAGGTCGCCGGCCCGTCGGCGTTAGGCAATTCGGCTCTTGCGCGGCCCGCTCGGACCTGACTCGCCGCTGGCGCCCTGGCCTGCGGTCGCGACAAAAAAGTATCCCCACCAGCTCCGTAGCCTTCTGGCTCAAGGCGTCTCCCAGAGGGGGTCTCCTCACCCCGGGGTCAGGGCTCGAGGTTGGCCAGCGCTGCCTGGGCGGCGCGGCCAGGCCGCGCGCAGCGGCCGCCGCCACCTCCTCGGCATGTCTTTCCGCGGCGGCGCCGAGCTGGCTCGGGTTCCTTGCGCTGGCGGCGTCGCGGGCTCTGCCGCGGCCGCCGGCGCTGTTGCTGCTCCTCGTGCGGCTGCGCCAGCTCTGGCCGCCGTCTGCGCCGCGGCCGCGGCCGCCGCTGGCGGCGGCTGCGGCGGCAGCGGCGCGCCGCCGCTTCCCGCACCGCGTGCTCCGCTGCCGCCGGCGTCCCCTGCCAGCGCCGCGGGCGCCCCCCGCGCGCGCCGCCGGCGCCCCCCGCGCTGCTGGCGCCGTCTGCGCCGCCTGCGCCGCCTGCGCCGCCTGCGCCGCGGGCGACGCGGGTGCGGCCGGCTCCCCGGAGGCCGCTAACCCCTCTGACGACGCGGGGGCCGCGGGCGCCGCTGGTGCCGCGTCCGCGGCCCGCGCCGCGGGCGCCGCCGCGCCCGCCGCGGGCGCCGCCGCGGAGGCCGCCGCGGCGGCCTCCGCCGCGCGTGCCGTCGTCGCGGCCGCTGGCGCGCTCGGTGCCACCGCGGCCGCCGACGCCGCGGCCGCTGCAGCGGCCGTGGCTCGTGCGGCCGCGCTGGGGCCCGCCGCGGCCGACGCTGCCGATGCGGCCGCCGCTGCCGCCGCTGCGGCCGCCGCTGCTGCTGCGGTGGCGGCTGCAGCCTCTTCTTGTGGCCTGCAGGCCAGCCCAGGGCGGCCAGGCTAACGCGGCGGGCTGGGCGCAGGTCGTGGCGCACGGCGTCTCCAGCGAGTTGCCCCAGGATCAGCCCGCTGGCTCTGCCCCGCGGCGGGCGACTTCGGCACCGAAGCGCTGGCGTCCAACGAGGCCGGGGACAAGCAGAGGAGAATCCGTGCCAACGCCCCGAGCTCTTCCTGGCCTCCTGCGCCGCGGGGCAGAGCGACGCGCCATCCGCTCGTCGGGGAGAGCGTATCGCTGTGGCCGCCGCCGTCCGCTGCGGCGGGCGACTGGGCCAACGTCCCGAGCTCTTCCTGGCCTGCCCCCCCTCCCTCCCCCCCTCCCGTAAAGATTATAATTTTTATGGGTCCAGCGATAACCCGGTTTATCGGGCTCGCCCCCCTCCCCCTGGATAACCTGACCTAGCTGGTTGTGCAGGTTCGGGGTGGGGGCACAGGGAGCTTGCAAGGAACGGTGTGTTCAACGGCGCGGTGGTGTTCGCCGCAGCAGGCTGGTGTTTGACGACGACGACGACGACGGACGACGGACGACAGACGACGGACGACGGACGACAGATGACTGACGACAGACGATGACAGACGTCGACAGATGACGGTAGACGACGACGAACGACGACGACGACACCGACGACCGACGACGACCGACATCGTCCATATGCATCTAGACGTGCGCGTGAGCGGCGCGTACACAGGCATTGCGTTGTGCACAGGCAGCGAGGCGATTCGGTGCGCGCCTATGCTGTTGTTTCAACAACATTTGTTGTATCCGCAGGCGTTGTGGTGCACGCAAGCATCAGTGCGCGCAGGTCGCGCGGTGCACGCCGGCATCGTGATGCGCCCAGGCAGTATGGTGAAGACTGGCTTCGTAGTATGCACAGGTGTTGCTGCAACATCCGTTATCGTGCACGCAGGCATCCCAGGCGTGGTGGTGTAGAAAAATACTCTGGTGCACTGTCATTGCGGCGTGCCACGCCTTGTCGTGCACACAGGCGCTGTGGTGTACGCATCCGCTGTGGTGCATACGTTCGCTATGGTGTACATAGGCGTTGTGGGCCCAAAAGACGGGACCGTTCCTTACGCAAGAAAAAGTAATAACCACACATAGCTTACATATTGAATTTGATACGTGCGGATTCCCCACGATTTTCTGGAGTCCGGTCCCGCGTGGGGCCCTAGAAGTGTACGCAGTTTTGTGGTGTACACAAACCCTTCGGTGCACTGGAGCTGTGGTGCACGCGTATGATGCTGAAGCAGCAACCGTGGTGCACATAGGCGTCGTCGTGTTCACATGCAGGGTGTGTGTGGTGTACACAAGCACTGCGGTGCACACGGGTGTTGTGGTGTACGCAGGCATTGGGCTGTACACAGGCACTGTGCTGTACACAGGCATTGTTGTGTGGACAGGCGCTGCGGTGTACACAAGCAGCTGTGGTGTGCAAAAGAAGTCGTGGCGCACGCTAGACAGGCGCTGTGGTGTACACAGAGATGGTCGGCCAAAAACGAGGTGAGTGACCGCACCCAGGGCCAACAAAATCAATAACAACACATACTTCACATATTGAACTTGAATGTTTGGGCCCCAGGAATTTTCCAGTTTCGGGCCCCAGCGGGACCTTGGAGGTGCACGTAAGCGCTGTGGCGCAAATGTTTGCCATGCGCGGTGGTGCACGCGGCTCCCGTGGTGTGCACAAACACCGCAGTGTACATAGGCGCTGTGGTGCACACGGGTGTTGTCGTGTACGCAGGCATTGTGGTGTACACAGGCAGTTTTGTGTAGACAGGCA